GGGAATGGGGGAGGGGAGAGAGAGAAAGATGGAGGGGTGGGGGGTGAGGGGAGCAGAGCAGAGAGAGCAGAGGGAACATGGGGTCTGCATTCGGCTTTTAAGGCACAGGTTGTGTGACCACACCGTGCATACGTAGTCAAAGTGCCCACTGATGACATAAGAACAGACAGCCTCAAAGTCACAGAGATCCACCTGCCTCTGTGTCTTACTGCTAGAATTAAAAGTGTGCACACCATGCTTGGTTCCAGCACTAATCCAGTGCTCAGGATTGCTTTGGCTGTCTAGGGTCTTCCTGCTTTTGTTTAATTTTCCCCCTATATCCGTGAAAACGGCACCAAAATTCTGACTGGTGGCTTTAGCTCTGTAGATTGCTTTTAGTAGGATGGGCATTTCAAATATTAACTCTTCCCATCCATGAGCAGGGCAGGTCTCTCTGCCTGCTAGGGTCTTCCTCAACTGTTTTCTTCAGTGGAATTTTCATGTTGTTTATCCCAAGATTTTTTGGTTTTGGGTATCATGACTGAATTTTCCCCATGTTTTCTTCCTCAGTATGGTTTTCCGGAAACAAGCTGGCTCCTGATGTCTGCATGTTGACTTTGTAACCTGCCATTGTGCTCCAGGTGGTCTTCAGCTATGGAGTTTTCTGAAGGAGTCTTCGGGTCTTTTCTAAAAAATTCACCCGCCTCTTTAGTGCTGGGATTAAAGGAGTGTAACACCATCACCTGGGCCAATTTTTAAAAATGGTTTTATTTTACATGTATGGGTGTTTTCTCTGCATGTGTGTATATACACCATGAGTGTGCAAACTCACTGAGGTGAGAGAAGAGCATTGGATCTCTTGGACTGGACTTACAGATGGCTGTAAACAGTTGTGTGGGTGCTGGGAATTGAACTCCATCCAGTAGAAGAGCAGCAAGTGCTCTTAACCACTGAGTCATCTCTCCAGCCCCTCTTCCAACTTGCTGTTCTCCCAGACACGGGACCTTTCGTTACCTCCTAAGTCTCATGGGCCTCCCTGTCCCCCCAGGAGGGAATGTTTCAACTCAGAAGAAACTGCTATAGAACGGTTAGATGCTTCCCAGGCCTCATGGTGTAGACAGACCCTGTCTGCTCCAGGCACCAGCCTGGTTATTCTTCTTAGAACACACAGACATGCTCCTGCCTCAGTGCATTTTCATTGCAGGATCCATGGTCTGGAAGAAACTTGGTTCAGCACCCTTGAGAATGATTCTTACAGTCTTCAAATCTTTCCTCAGATGTCACCCTCTGAATGGCACCACACTGAACACCCATCTAAACGGTGTCCTTAGGGCAGGGTGGATGGCTGAGATGCAGAGAACACCTTCTGCTCCTGCCCAGAACCAAGTTCAGTTCCCAGCACCCACACCCAGGATCTCTAACACCCTCTTCTGACCTCCAGGAGCCCTGCACTCACCTGACCACACCCACACGGATGCCGCACATCCACTGTAGTGGATTCAGTGAGAAATGTCCCCATAGTGCTGGGTAGTTGAACTTTGTTCTCTAGTTGGTGGTGCTATTTGTGGACATGGAGGTTTAAGAGGTGTGACCTTGCTGGAGGAAGTATGTTTCTATGTGGTGATATTGTGTTCCCCAAAATATTGTGCACCCTAATAAACTTATCTGGGTTCAGAGAACAGAACAGCGAGTTTACCCTAGAGGTGACTCACGCCTTTATTCCCAGAGAATGAACCTTTAATCCCAGGGATTGATGGCAGAAAGGTATATAAGGTGTGAGGACCCGGAACTAGAGCTGAGATTAATTTTGGATGAAGACTCAGAGGATTCCTGTCTGAGGAATCAGGATCAGCTGAGGAATTGGTGAGGTGAGGTTAGCTGTGGCTTGTTCTGCTTCTCTGATCTTCCAATGTTCACCCCAATAGCAGGCCCTTGGTTTGTTTTTATTAATAAGACCTTTTAAGATTCCTGCTATATTTCTGTGAGGATAAAAAGTCCCGTCTGCCTCGATGTTGCTCTCTCTGCTTCCTGTTGACACTGAGGCTGTGAGCTCTCAGCTTCCTGCTCCAGCCACCACATCTGCAGCTCTGTGCCAGGCTTGTCTGCTGTGATGCACTCTTATCCATCGGAGCTGTAGCCAAGACAAAACCTTTTAAATGTTGCTTTATCACAGCAACAGAAAGGTAAGTAACATACACATAATTTTATAGTATTTTTTGAGACAGGTGTCACTATGAAGACCAATCTGGACTTGAATTCACAGAGATTCACCTGGCTCAGCCTTCAAAATGCTAGGAATAAAGGCATGTGCCAGCTAGCCACACTAAAAAAAAAATATATATATATATATATATATATATATATATATATATATATTAAAAAAACTACAACTCTCCGGGCGGTGGTGTCGCATGCCTTTAATCCCAGCACTCGGGAGGCAGAGCCAGGCGGATCTCTGTGAGTTCGAGGCCAGCCTGGGCTACCAAGTGAGTTCCAAGAAAAGTGCAAAGCTACACAGAGAAACCCTGTCTCGAAAAACAAAAACAAAACAAAACAAAAAACCCAAGCAATCAAAAAACAAAACAAAATAAAAAAAACAAAACAAATAGCTCTCTACCCTGTTCCTCCCCTGCACTCTGCACACCTTCCATTCTGCCCTCACCTCCCCACACAACCTATCATTGTTGATTCCCTTACACTGTATCACAGGCATCTTCCCACCACAGCACTTCCTCCAGGAGACCAGCAACTCTGTATCACTGCCTAGTGTGTCTTAGAAACAGGACTTCATCTCACATCTGGAACAGACTCTGTGGGCTGATCACAATGGACACTGCTGTGTCCCCTGCTTGAGGAGTGGATTTCCTCCACCCCAAATGGAGACAGTGACAGCTGACCAAGGAAAACATCCATCCAGGGTCAGCTCACTGAACCCTGAGCGCACTGGTGACTCACAGGAGCCTGGGTGAGTCAGGGGATAACCACTGGGATGCCCACCCCAGGGTGCATGTCACTCACACAGCTGTATCACTGCAGTCCCCTGCACATCTCCCAGCAGCTCCACTCAACAGTCTCCTCTCCCTCAGGAACTGCAGCTGGTTTAACCCTGAGAGGGAAGTGCTACATTGTGTCAGCTCCGTGAACCTGTAGCTTCTTGTGTTTCCTGAGCCTCCTCAGCTCCTCCTGGCTCCAGCAGGGATGTTTCAGTCTAGAGGAAAATTCACACCCTCACCTCCCTTTTCTACAGAAGCTCCCTTGATTAACACAACCTCAGGCCACATGCTGGTGTGTCGAGTGCAGCACCAGGTCCCCTCACACTGAGGTCAGAGTCACCTGAGCTTCCCCTCAGCAAACCCTCCCTCCCTCTCTACCTGCCTTTCTGTCTTTGATCCATGATCCTATTTATTTTTATTCATTTATCAAACATTTATTGGGTCTGAATGTCTGCTAGATCCCAGGCACTGGAAGTCATCATCCCTCACAAGACAAAGATGTCAGCATCATGACAGAAATTGTCACCTTCTTGGTCTTCAAACATCTCAGCTAAACTCCTGGAGCTCCTGACTCAAGGTCACAAAGCTAGAAGAGAAAACTGCAGGGGCTGGAACCAGAGCAGGGGTGAAGCAACTTTCATCTCTGGCATTCCAACAATCTATTTTTTTTTAAAGATTTATTAATTTTACATAAGTATTTTCTTGCCTGCATGTATGTCACCAGGTGCCTGTCTGGTGTCCCCAGGGGTATTAGATGCCATGGAACAGGAGTTATGAATGGTTATGAGCCACCATGTGGGTGCTGGTATCTGAACCTGGGTCCCAGGCAAGCACAGCAAATGCTCTCATCCCCTGAGCCATCTCTGCAGTCTCTAGACCATGGTTTGTGTTTGTTTGTTTAATAAACATAAATGTAATGTAGACTCAAACCATAAATCCCTGAGTCACCACTGGGGGCAGCACCAGGATTCTCAGAGCCAGGGATGGGGAGGGGACCTTGGACAGAACCCAGCTCCAACAGGACAGATTGAGATGAGACCCTGTGGATCCCTCCTCACTGCCCATCCTACAACCTGGGTTAGATTCTGAAAGATGAGAAAGAAGGAGAGAACCTCCAGGGAGGGGCCTGGAAGGAGGCAGAAGCCCAGGAGACTGAAGTTCATCTCCTCAGCCCACAGTCTCCTGAGTCAGGGGCTTAGTTTGGCATTGATGAGACAAAGATGGACAAACACCTCTTAATGCTGTCACTCAGGGAGCCCAAGGGATAAGGAGGCAGGGACTAATCACAGGAACAAGAACAGGCAGAGTCCTCCATACAAACTAAAAAGACAAGAAATAAACAGAGAAGA